GATGGGTTATTGCACAGGTGCACTACTTATTTGCAGAGGTGTATAAAGTACTTGAAAGAAGTAAGTAAAAGTAAAAATACCTTAACAGAAAATGACTTTGATAAAAATGAATTTCACTGATAAGAAAAAATACTAAAGTAAATGTAATAAAACTGCTCACAAAAATCTGGAAAGTAAAATTACTTTAATGCTCTAAGAAATTAAGTGTTGGATTTACAAAACCAAACTGGTTCCAGTAAACCGAGTTGAGTAAATTGATCAGTTTACACATTTTCCTTTAAAAAATGTAAATACTTTATGTTTACTCAACTCAGTTTAGTATAACCTGCTGACATAACATGGTTCAGTAAATTCAACACTTTGTTTTTAGAGCGCATGAACAACTGTTTTCATTATGAGTTCTGCTCATATTTAAATTTGTATCGTGTAACTATAGGTGTCACATTTTAAAGTAATGAAATAAAAGTTTCATTTTTATGTTTTGAATGTAACTCAATAAAAGTAAAAGATCAAAAAAATCACAAATCATTGAAATTTTTCAAGTACTGACATAAAGTACTTAGATACACCTCTCAGTATTTTAGTGTCAAAATTAAACATTATTTGAGATTTTTGTCTTTAGATTTGCATGAATTATAAACAAAACCATGTTGGAACCATTATATGAGCCTGTTTCTTTTGAAAACGTCAGAAATTCCTATATTTGCACCCGACACTGTTCCACTTCAGTTCAAAGGTTGATGCCCGGTGGTGGTCCGGCTCTGACGGACTCTGGGGTCTCAGTTCTGCAGCTGCAGGAGACCTGTTGGCCTGTTGGTAAACAAAGACCCGCACATTATAATTCTGATCCTGGCTTCTGGCCACAATGGCTGCTTTGTGAAAGCAGCTCTTGACAAAGGTCTGCCACTTGTTTTTCCTCACGCTGCTGGAGAGGCTGCTGCAGGAAAGTGTTGGGCACCGAGGTGGAAGAACAGTCCAGACCAGACAGATGCCTTCATTATGACACCGCAGACCCAACAAAATGAAACAGCTCCTGGAAAAGTTGTTCCTTTGTTTTCCTGCGGTCGACTCTTACAAAGTGCGTGTGCGGTTGTGTATTATTGTGTTAATTTAAGCTGGTATTGTGTCATGTTTGTTTTCTCATTAAAATAAACTTAATTAAGCATTTTGTTGCTTCTTTTGTTTACCTTTTACTCTGTCATAAATGACTCGTTTGTTCATCTTTTTAGTAATACTTTAATTTATCATGTTTTCTGTTTTACGTTTTTAGTTCCTTCCAGCTGAAGGGCCAGAAGTCATCTCGTCAATAATTCAATAAGAAACAAAAATGACAGATTTGAGTCTGGCTGGATGTTCACTTTGTTTTAGTTTGTCAGAAAACAAAAAGCATGTTTACAGAAATTTGAGTTTTTGACACATCCCATTCTGTTTCTGCAAGKTGTGCTCACCTTGTAAAATTTAAAATTTGTTAAGATTTGAAGTGAACATTTGATTTTCAGTCAATGTTTTGTAATAAATCCCAGCAGGAGAAGGATTTTTGACCCCAAAATTGCCACTAGTTTTATATTTTTGCAAAGACAGATCACTGTGTAGTCAGATTGTGAGTTTCATGTTCCTTTAACCTCCTTCCCTTTTCCCACAAAGATCCAGCAGTTGGGATTTTAACTGAATCTGGAGATAAACATAAYTATTCGGAGATGGTTCAGTCTTTGCAGTGATGACAGGAGACCTTTCACTGGTTTTCCTGGGTCCAGTGGGTCGGAGAGCAACTTATGTGGATAAGAACAAACTTTATTTATTTATTAGGATGCTGCTTTGCTCCTGGTTTGATGTTAGAACTGTGTGGTTT